CACACACACACACACACACACACACACACACACACGGAGAGACAGTAAATGACGCAAAGAAGAACCAGCATATATGAGCAAACTTGAAAGCAGAATTACAAAGCCAAGAGCACATCAAATGAGTACGCAGTCATACCGAAGTGTCTTGATAAGGAAGCCGAACTTCTTGCCTCCACGCGTCAATACGCCCCCAATGTAGTAGCTCTCCTATGATGCAACCACCTCTACCACTCTCCTACTCACTCCCTATATACACAGCCCACTTATCTCGCTCTCTCCTCTCTCACCTCTCTGTCCACTCTCCTTTCGCCTAACAATGCTGCAGAGCCTGACCATCTCGAGTTTGCTCTTTGGCCATCACCAGGTAGGACTGCCTGTTTCCCACCACCGTCCTTCTTGCCTGATCACCCCAGCCCCAGCACCCCCTTCTTCTTCCTTGGCACAGCAAGGACTGCCACCAAGCAGATCAGCTAACCCCTGGCTGCTCCTCCCCTTCCTCTTTGTCCAATGCCCACAGAGCATGGCCACGTGCGCTTATTGCAGAGCTAGTGCTGGCAGCCAATGCCTCCAAATGTGTCAAATGTCGCGACCTCCTCTCCTTTTGTTACTTCCAGGGGGCCACGGCCGCGTGGCTGGGACCGGGCTCTTCCTGGTCTGAGAACCTTCCGGACTGGGTACCCGGGCCTCAGCCTCTGCAACTACCTGGTGGGCTGGGCCTACTGGTTAGTTGGAAAGGCTGCGCCCAGTCTTCCTTCCAACTCCCTCACCCCAGCCTCCCCAGAGGCCTCACGACAGTTTCCAGGCCCGGCCTGCACTTAGGGTCGGGTCACATTTTAACAGGCCGCCCCTTCTGGGAGCCACAGAGGACTGAAGCCTCACACCAGTGAATGCATGGCTTGTGTTAACAAAGGAGGAACAAAGGAGGAGCGAAGAACAGAAGATCCTCCGCCCTGCATAATGTGCTCCTTGGGACAGCTGGAGTCTGTGATACACTGTGTGTTGGAGTGCCCACATGCCAAGCCCTTCTAGGAGCTCATACACTATGCCCCAAACTCCGGTCTCCCACCTTTCCCAACGAATGCCGTTGTTCTTCTTACCGCCAAGAATAGAAACGGTACAGTGTCCTTAATGAACGGGGAAGATCAGTTCTTTGGGTGCTTAATGGACGGAGAAGATCAGTTCTTTGGGTGCTATGGCGTTCAAGGAGCAGAGACAAAATAAGAAAATTGAAGACCTCTTTCAGAGAATCATGGAGCGAGGCAAAGGGATATACTGGAGACAGAATCAAAGCAGAATGGAAGACAGTTCTCCCAGAAATGGAAAAGGAACTGGACCTGCAAAAGAGAAACAAAATGTGGAACCTCTTCACGGAGGAGAGGCTATTGCAGGGTCAAATAGCATGTATTAGGGGGAGGGATTTAAACCGCAAGTACACGGCGCCAGCCTGCAGAAAGTGGTGCGGTTTTCAGGTGTCAGTGCTGACACCCGCAGGCCGATGTGTGGTGTGCTTGTGCTTTAAGGTTTGAGGACTAGTGCCTACCAGGAGAAGAGGATTACAGTAGGGCACTGGAGAACAAGAACTACGTAGATGGTGAGCAGTAGAAACAGAATGTTAATAGAACAAGATGGAATAGGGTCATGCTTCTTTTCCTTGTGTCAGTCTGTTAATAGCATTTGTGTAGGTAGTCAGTTTCTAGCATTTGTGTAGGTAGTCAGTTTCTAGCATTTGTGTAGGTAGTCAGTTTCTAGCATTTGTGTAGGTAGTCGGTTTCTAGCATTTGTGTAGGTAGTCGGTTTCTAGCATTTGTGTAGGTAGTTAGTTTCTAGCATTTGCATGAGTCCCTCCCAGGCTTCTTGCACTGGTACCTGCTGGTTATCTAGGGTCTCTTTGTATCTCAGATTTCAATCTTCTGAGCAGTTTCCATGCATGCTTTAACGGTCCCTCTGGTTCAAAGAAGCCTGTAAGCAAGGTGAGGCTGTCGTCCGCCATTGTTTTGTTCGCCGCGGCTCTCCATCGGTCGATGGCCCTCTCCCAGACCTGTCTCACTTCAGGGCATAGAAGAAGGCAATGTCTGACAGTCTTCCTTCTCTCCCATGTTACGAATTGCATAGAGCTCTTTCTCACTGCCCCTGTGATCTTGGCTTCTGCAACGGTTCAGCCGCAAGTTGACTGGTAGTGCCAAATACGCTATTAACCATCGCAGGCTTCTTACCCGTTTCTTTCTTATTGACAGGATTGAGTTCCACGGGATTTGGGGACCCCTTCCATCTCCCCACCCACACCCAGGTGTTTCCACCATCGAGTATTTCTTGGACATTCGCCTATCTCCTTCTGAATCTATAGCCCAGTCTTCTGGCAGTATAGTTGAGAAGGCTGACCAGGATATCAGGGGCATATTCGTGAAGAACACGCTGGGCGAAGGGAATAATATTATTGGCAACCTGGCAGGGGGCAAATTCGAATTCAATTTCAATTTCAAATTCAAATTCAAATTCAAATTCAAATTCAAATGGAAGGTTAAACCACCAGTACCCCCGCTAAGAAATCAAATAGGTGGCGCGTTACCAGACGCAACTTTCGGGCAGTACCCCGGCGCCCGTTTCGCTTGATATCCATCCAGGCAAACGGGGCCTCACATGTGATCCGTTTTGCATGGAGGGATAGATATCCAGCGAAACCGCGGTGCTTGATCCGTTCTGCATGGAGGGATGTCCAGCGAAACGGCGCCTCGATACAGGCCGGCTTTCGTCCCTGATCGACGAGTCAGTCTTGCAGTCAAGCTCCCTTTTGCCTTTACACTCAATGGCTGATTTCCGTCCAGCCTGAGGGAACCTTTGCACGCCTCCGTTAGCCTTTGGGAGGCCTACGCCCCGTAGAAATTGTCTACCTGAGACTTTTCCTTATTTCCCGAGAGTCGCGGCTGTATACGTGCCACATATTTGATTTCTTACCAGGGAAAACGTACTGGTGGCTTACCGGTTTGGGAGGGGTTTGAGACAGCTCTTTGTTTGCGGTCTGTTCTTGGAAAGGGTTGCCTAGGATAGCGGCAGGGTATTGTTGGGAAGAGCGGTAGAGCACTGGTAAATCCTTCCTTGAACAGAAGCAATAAATGAGGCTGTAAAAAATAACAATAAATAATCATAATAATAATAATGATAATAATAATGATAATAATAATTAATAATTAATTTTAAAAAAAATGCCGCTGTCTCAGGGTCCTTCCTTCAGCCAATGTAAGGGACGCTGGAAACTCGAACAAAACAAAACCAAAAAAAAAAAAAAAAAAAAAAAACAGAAGAAGAAGATAGAATAGCGGTAAGTATGAGCCTCAAGGTTGTTACATGCTGCGCCTGCACACGGGCCCCATTTGAGGGGCCCGACAGTTGCTGAGGGGCCCCCAGGCTGCGCACCATACAGCACCTGTCCTGGAGGCCCACGGCGGCCCTCCAGGCCCTACGTAGCACACTAGGTAGATAGGCTTTGTTTTACTTACCTTTTTGTGTGTGTGTGCTGTCTTATTTTTGTCTGTTCAGATGCCGTTTCGGACTTGCAGCCCCAAGGCCGGACCTTGGGACTGRGTACACCGGAGGCAGGCCCGAAACGAGGCCAGRCGCATTTTGGCGCCAGACCRGKAGGTGCAGGCGTCGTTTCGGTCCTGCAGGTCCCAAGGCGACGCCTTGGGCTAGGTGCACAGTTACCGGGCCATTTTTAGGCCAGGCGCATTTCTGCGCCTTGCTGCATCAGCAGCATGGTCTGGACGTCCGGTAGGGACCCAGACCAGCTGGGCCGTTTTTCTGAGGCCAGCATCAGGTAGGTCCAGCCTGCCCAGAGCTACAAATAGCTGGGCAGCGGCTGGGCAAGACAGTTCGAGTAGCTCACTTCTGAGCGACACGCTGCTGGTTGGAGGCAGCTTTATTCTGCACTACACTACGGAG